AGCTCAACAATGGCAGGGCATCCGGGGTTCGTGTGTTCTGAAAACGCACAACCCCCACCCTCTTAGCACCACGGGGGTCAGGCGTTCTTAAAGCGCCTGACCCCCGCCCTCTAAGCACCGCAGGGGTCCGGCGTTCTGAAAACGCCCGACCCCCGCTCAACGACGGCAGGGCATCCGTGCGTCCGGGATTTTGAAAACGCCCGACCCCCGCCCTCTTAGCACCACGGGGGTCCGACGTTCTAAAAACGCCCTACCTCCGCCCTCTTAGCACCGCAGGGTTCCTGCGTCCCGAGAACGCCCGAGCCCCGACCTTCGTTTCCGATAGGGGGATAGGGGGTTCCCAGAACGCCGGACGCCCCTTTCAGATGCGAGGGCCTCGTGTTGCTCGTTCCATGAACGCCCGACCCCCTTTCGGAAACAACGGTCGGGGGTCGGGCGTTCTGGGAACGCCGGACCCCTTCCGAAAACGACGGTCGGGGGTCGGGCGTTCTAGGAACGCCGGACCCCCCTTCCCGAGACGTCGGGGGTCGGGAGTTCTGGGAACGCCGGATCCCCTTTCGGAAACGAGGGTCGGGGTGTCCGTCATTGGAGGGAACGCCGGAAGCCTTTTGGGAAATGACGGTCGGGGGTCGGGTGTTCTCGGAACGCCGGACCCCGTTTCGGATACCTCGGGGGTCGGGCGTTCTGGGAACGCCGGGCCCCCTTTCAGACACATGAGAAGGCTGTCAAGCGTCTAGGGAACGCCGGGCCCCTTTTGTGAAATGGCGGATGGGGGTCGGGCGTCTAGGGAGGGCCGGACCCCCTTTCGGATACGTCTGGGCTCGGGCGTTTTGGGAACACCGGACCCCTTTTAGGATACGTCTGGGGTCGGGCGTTCTGGGAACGCCGGACCCACTTTCGGATACGTCGAGGGTTGGGCGTTCTGGGAACGCCGGACCCCCTTTCAGAAACGAGGGTTGGGGTGTCTGTCGTCTAGGGAACGCCGGACACCTTTTGTGAAATGACGGTCGGGGGTCGGGCGTTCGGGGTACGCCGGACCTCCTTCCAGAAACGACGGTGGGGAGACGAGGGTCTGGGAATCGGCCGTTTTCGATATGCCGGACGCCCTCGGTGTGCGGAGGGTGGGAGTTCGGGTGTTTCCAGAACGTCCGACCCCCCGGTTGTTGAGATGGGGGTCTGCCGTTTGGAGAAGGGCGGATACGCAATTTTTGACGACGCGAGGGGGGGCCGTCGGCTCCTCGCGCGAATTGCTTTTGTTTGTTCCTCATGTTTTCTTTGCTTGTGCGTTTCCTTTGTTTGTGCCCTCTAGGTCAACCTGCTGCTTTGACCTCTCGGGCATACGGCAGGTCAAAGATCTACAACAACAAACCATGGGCTCTGGACTGGGTTGGTGGTCTGCATAAGCCTGGGTGTGGGGCCGTTGTCTTTTTGAGCGACGACAATGGTGCGACGTGGTACTGCTGTTTGGGTGTTGAGAAATCTGAGAGCGCCAGGAACACCTACGACGGGAGGTCGTCCAGGACCTTCTTTCTTACGTCAGTTTTCGACAAGGATGGGAAAAATTGGGTCAAGGAAGACAAGAAGGTTGGCCTTGACTTGCGGCTCTTTCAACGCTATGGCGTCAAGGCTTTCTCCATGAAAGTGTTTGACGCGAGCGGGGACGGCGCCGAGCTTCGCATGCTCACTGCGGAACAATTCCTCAGTAGAACGAACGGCTACCGCGTCACTGGCTGCCTTCCTGTCGTCGACAGTTCCTTGGAGCTCACCAAGCCGTTGGTGAATATTCAGCAGCCCGGGGGACCAACTTCAAGGTGTTGTTAAGGAGTACAGGGAAGCCTTCTTGAGGCTGCCTCTGGACCAGCAAGCTGACTGCGCTTTCGTGCCCTTTGTCACGAGCTCGAGGAAATCGCGACATACGCCATCCGCACCGGTTGGAAAGAGGAAACTGTTGGCTGCTTGTCCACCTCCGCCTTTGCCAGGCGCGTTGTCCTCGCCCTTGCCCCCAGTGAGGGGAAGTCACGATCTCGCTCAATGTTCCAGCGAGGCTACGGAGTACGATGACAGACTTTTGTACGGACGCAATGCTGCGCGCGACAGTGTCCAGGAAGGTGCGACTGCCCTGATTGAGCAAAACGAGGATAAGGAAGATGGGGGAAGCTGCGGTCCACGTGAAGACGGCGGTGATTACGAGTACATGGACGTAGGGGATGAGAACATGCAGGACCAGAACATGCTTGGCGATGACGACGTCGGTATCACATCGGAGCATGGCCTTGGCGACATCCCCGCCGGTTCTGTGGGGCCGACTGTTGGTCAGCAGTTGTCGTCCCCTGCGATATGCCATTCGCAAGGCGGGAGTCAGGGTGGGCATGACTCGCAGGAGCACGGAGGATCGAAGTCGAGGAAAAAAACAAGAAAAACTTCTCCTTCTGCTTCCGCTCACAAGAGGCAATCGAGGACTGGCGCTGTAAATGAGGCTTGTGGAGCTCTGATAGCATCCCAGGAGGCGAGACCTCCACGGAAGAGCAGCCAGGGGGGAAGATCTGGCGGTCGTGGCCGCGGCCATGGTGGGGCAAGAAAAGGTAAGCAGATAGTGAGGGCAGAAGAACTGCGGGACGCGGGAGATGAGGGCGAGGGAGTGGGCCCTCGCATGCTCGACGATGGTGATGAACCGCTTCAGCAAGCTGCACCCATCGACACGACACGTGTTGTTTCTTCCTCGAGTACGACGAGTGGGGTTTTGCTAAGCAAAAAGTCCTCCCTGTTCTTGTGGACGTCATGAAAATCAAACGCATTCCCCGCGGGAATATTATTTTCAACCATCGCTCTTTGTCTGCGAATATTGTGCGAGGCATCGAGAATGCCATCGAGAGTTCCATCACCACGGAACCGGGGGCGTGGGATAGGCCTGAGCTCGTGCTTGCGCCGGTTGACCGCAACGAAATCGTCGGCGGGCAGGGAAGGCGGATAACACCGACCAAATTCTTCGAAAGAGACTCCTCGGAGTTCGATTGGTATGCTGTCTGTGGTCAGCATACGATCGAGGTGATGAAGATATTGGTAAAAAAGGGTTCTCCGGCAGTCGATGTCTATGGCCTTCGCGCGTACTCTAAGGTGCGGGTCGTCTATTTTGGAGATGACCAGACGCGAGGGTATTTCATTGTCTCTGCCTTCGACAACACGCGCGAAAATCGGGCCATGATGTTGTCGTTCAAGGATGCTGTCCGTGATATGAGACAATGGTGGATCGATAACCACCGAATCGAGGCCTCGAAAGACAAGGTCAGCGATAAGGATGCGGTCGTCGTTGCGCACCAAAAGAAGTGGCAAAATTTCTTAAGGGCCTCCATGGGGAAGGCATGCGACAAGGCGTTCGTAAAGCAAGCGCTCGAGAATGAGTACAGTAAGGATTGGAGCAATAAACTCCGTGGCTACATGAACCTCGCCACATCCACTGAGGTTGTGTAGCCACTGGTCGAGAAGTTCTTCGACATGTTCAACGAGGGGAAGCTGCCAGTTGGCGATGGTTAAATACCACTTGACATGCCGGGTAGGATGGAGGGGCGCCATCCAGACCCGTACACCGACGAGACGAAGGGGCAAAGGACATTATACCATTGCATTTAAGCGAGAGATGGTCCCAAAGGCTCCACCGTGTCGTGGAAGGATCTCTGTCCTTCCTACTTCAAAAATTTTGGGGATTTGACGTGCTGCGAGAGGGAAGTTGCACTGCTCCTACTCATGAAAGGGAAGGTGGTCGTGACGAACGTCAAGGTCATGCCTCCGAGAGTGAATACGGAGTGCCTCCTCGACATCATGCGCAAGGAATGCTACATGGTCCGTATATTCAACTATGTTGTTTTCCGCGTCGAGGGAAGGGCGGACGATAAATGGAATGATGCCTTCTTCATGTCATGCAAGGACCTCGAAGACAGGTATGGGCCGAACGGTCTATGTGCAGCTGAATGGGAGAAGGAATGGGACAAGCTGCATGTCAGCAAAGTGAAGACGGTCCCTTGACGGCTTGGAGGGGTGGAGGAGGCAAGGCAAGGATCAGGCTTGGGCCCTACGGCGGCAATGTATAAGGAGGCTTCGTTCCACTTTAAGGTGTTTGTATACACCTCAATCGATAAGCTCGATCTGCTTCAAGCGGGGGTCAAACGGGTCGCCTCCAGCGCACGTCATATCGTGTGGGATAAACTTAAAAAACAAACAACATTATTGTCGGTGTGCATGCCATTGAAGGAAGTGCTGGCTGCGCCGGACGACATCGTCGCTGCGGCGCAAAAAATGACTTGCAGGGCCGTCATCCTTGACATCTCCCCCGCTAACTTCTGCGTGACATGGACCTCTCAAGAGTTCGACGCTCTGCACTCTATGATGACTAAGTGCTGTGGTGTTAATTGGGTTCTTTTTGTCTTCGCACCGCAGAAGGTGCAAAGTGATGTTCTGCGTTGCTTATTCCGGTGGGAGGACATCGAACTCATCCTCGGGACCTGGAAACGGGTGGACAGGCCATCGAATGACATCACGAGGTATGGCAATATCGCTACGGCGAGTCGAGACATGATGGTCATTGTCCTGCACGCGGAGGGAGGGGATCTCAGAAAGGTCACGGTCGCACCCCACCTTGTTAATGACCTCACAAACGTGCATGTCGTGGAGGAGAAGTTCGGGAAGTGTTTGGGGAAACACGGTGGCATAGAGGGCGATAAAAGTGTGGTGTATTCCATCTGGGAGCGAGAGCCTGGCAAGTTGCGTTCGTTGTGCGGGTCATTCGTCGAGGAGGCGGAAGGTGTGCTTTTATTGGGTAGGGCGCACGCGGGTCTTGTGTGGGAATTCTTACTGGCAGGGAATAATGTCATTGTCTGTGACGAGTCGGCAAAGGACATTGCATACTTCACAAAGTTCATCGATATACTTGTCAAGGACGACAGATTCAACTGCCACGTCGAGAAACCGCGTTGCAAACATCGCCCGAACAGGGACATGTTGCACAAGTTGGGGCCTAAGAGGCTGAAGGTGTGGGAGTACCTGTTCCGCGATATGCCACAAGGACGGCTTGACGGGAAATATATATACAGGAAAGCAAAGGCAACAGAGACCCTCAAACATTATCACGGTGCTCTCACTGGTGCCTTTGAGACTTTTGTTGCTCGATGCGAGATCCTCAAGTTCGATCTTCGCAAAGACAAATTGACGTCCAAGGACTACGCGGAGCTCGCGAAATCGGGCGATGGCTTTAACTCCGTCGACAGCGAGGAAGATTCTTCGGACTCCGACCTCGAACTGGGCGAGGACACATGTGCTGAGGTTCCACGCGGTGGAATGGTGCAAGCCCACGATGACGGAACTGTCCATTCGCACGGAGGGTCCATCCCGGTGGCCGCCCCAAGCGTCGCCTCAATGGTGGCCCCGTCGGAGACTACTGCATTGCAAGACGTTGGAAGATGCGGTGGCAATGAAGAAGACGACATTGAGATACCAGGCGAGGCGTCGATGCTCGCACTAGGCGATGCAATTCCTCCAGGCTACTGTGCTGACCCGGACACGATATATTTCCTGGAGGGCAAACACACCCACACAGGCGAGGATTAGTGAGGCCATGACATCATATGGCATGAGGGCGTTTTACAGCCGTGCATCCAAGATGGGGAGTGGAAGATGGCGGTGAAATACACAAGCGGTTGGAAGACTTTTCGTCGGATGTCAAAGGACATCTGGTTGAAAACGACGGAACTCGCGATCCTGCATCGCGTGCGCGTCGAGAATCCAGGGCAGAGCGAGGCCGCCATCAAAGCCAAGGCCGAAGAATTGTTTCATGTCTTGCGCGACAATCGGCAACTGGAGTACAACAACAAATTTTATGCCCTGCGCTCGAGTCCCTCACGCGGGTCAATCAACTGGAAGGTTGATCAAACCGCCAGAACCTTGGAGGGGAGCTGCTCTCATGATTTCATGCCTTCGGCTGAGCCGGCTTCTGTGGCCGCGCAAGCAGGGCACATGGAAGATGACGGGACTACTGTTGTCGGGCCTCAAGAGGTTGACATCACGTCTAAGCCGCAAATATTGGAAAAATCCATCTCGGTCGCCGCGGCACAATCGTCCCCACCCATCGATGTGTCAACGACATTGCCGCCAGATGCAAGTGCCACGTACGGGAGTTTATTGATAACAAATGCTGCAATGCAAGGCAGATCCGAGATCGAGTCAGAGTCTGATGTTGGGCCGAGCGTGGCGGAGAGTCAGTTGCAACCGTCTTTATGCACTGGCAAAGGTGATGCACAATCACCGCTGACACCACAGGGAGGGGCCGGTGCGGATGGCGGGAAGGGAGGGGATGTGGAGGGAATGCACCGTTCTCGCAACCTCGACACCTTAACCGCTGATATTGATTAAAAGGGTGAGGGTGGGTGAGGCAGGAGGGGTGTAATTTGAGGGGGAGAATCCAGTGATATGATTACAACTTCACCTCTGCCTTGTTGAATGAAATTGTGTAATTGACTTGGTTCGTTGTTTTGTTTAAAATAGAATTCGTATTAGTCTCCGTAGGCACCACTTCTACGTCGTTTTTCCATTTATGTATATTTTTTTTTTCACCTCAACTTTTTAATAGACCTGAGATGTTTAGATTGACTGCCCGTCTCGACGTGCAGTAACAAATCGTGGTGGGAGCGTATGTGTGGTATTGTACATCTCTCTCTCTCTCTCTCTCTCTCTCTCTCTCTCTCTTTCTCTCTTTGCGACATGGACGTGTGTGTGCGGATGTACTATATAAGGGTGGTCAATCGATGCGAGGAATGAAAGACCGAAAAATGTGAATGACGTTCATACAAGTAAAATATTAGAGAAATAATGAAAACATGCCTTGCATGCATCAACTCTCACAAAGCGTTTGGCCATGCACTCACAATACTTGCCCCGTCCGCCCGCGTGAATGTCCTTTTCCTCATCGTCTGTGGTGTGCAGTACAAATGACAACAACGGATACAAGATTGTGCAAAAGAGGATGGACAATGCATCTCGCAACTTTGTCTTTATCGGAGAGGGAGATGGCAGCACTAGCGCATATCATTCGCGAATACGGGAATAGGTATCCCGTTGCCAGCACACAAGATGCGCACAATAACGAAGTGTTGCAACTCACTCGCAACGATTTTCTTTTACTCGCCGTCGAACAACAGTGGTTAAACGACAACGTGATCAACTTTTATCTCAACCTCGTAGCATTAGACAACTGCTGTAGAATACAGCACGTAGAATGCGACGCAGATAATGAGATAGTCATTAGAGAAGGAAACGGTCGCATTCCCAGAGTATCAGTGCTGAGCTCGTTTTTTCCTGTCAAACTTTTCGATAATGACATGAGATATAGAGGCCGAGAGGTAGAACGCTGGTACCAGGATGTAATTATAAGTGACATGGATTTGATTATTGCTCCTTTCCATATCGCACACTAGGACCACTGGACCTTGGTCGTGGCTGATTTGAGGAGGAGGAAATTCGAATTCTACGACGCCCTCGACCCCGACAAGGAGTTCGCGTTAAAAGTGATCGGCGGGTTTGCAAAGTTTTTATTCGAAAGATCGAAATCGCAAGGCAAAGAGGTGGACACGAGACCATTCAATCACATATGGAATGCAGAGGGCATTCCAAAGCAACATGACACGAACGAATGTGGGATCTTCGTACTCACGTACGCGTCACTTTTGGCACGGGGCCAACTTCCGCCTTTCTGTTTCATCGCAGATGACATACCTGCGATACGTCGTCGGATGGCATTGGACACAGTGGCTCGTGAGTAGTGTATACGTGATATTATATAGTATGATTGCGAAGGGGGCGGACGTGGTTGGCACGAGATGGCGCTTGACAAAAAACAATGTATATAAGGTGTTAATTATTCATCGGTGCACTGTGTCACTTGCCCCTTGCATGGTACCTTACACCTTACACCTTACCCCATACACCTTACAATTTACCCCTTACACCTTACCCCTTACACCTTACCCCTTATACCTTACCCCTTACCCCTCACACCAAAAGATCCGATTTGTAATGGTTTTTGTACTTCAATCATCTCAAAAATGACAATTTCAATTTCGTTCAAAAAATATAAAATGTCCGTTTTGACGAAATCGCTGTTTTCTGCACTGCGCTGTATTGGTATTGCATGTCGTCGTCGAACAATTTCGCGAAGAAGAAGGAACTAAAAATTGCTGCTATCGGGATGCGCCCTTTTCCTTCTACTACTTTTCCGTCTTGTCCACTATCACACTCGCGATGGCTTATGCGACACATGTTGTCAAGCCTTACGAGGGTTCAAATAAAAGTCAACTATTTCGTTGTTTAACCACTTGCCTTGATACAGTATCAAGCTCAAATCATGCCTGGTTAGTGTTAGTTCTTCTTTTGTTGGCCCGTTGTACGTGGATGTCCAGACCGTCCGATTCTCCGCTTACACTGAATCTCGTAAATGTTGCACCGCAGCCGTCTCCTTCTCCGATAACTTATCCGTTGCTAAGTGGATCGTTCATCCCTGTTTGCATCTTCGTACTTCTTCTATGTTCCTCCTTTCTGCACATGACAATGCATTATGCCGCAGCGTAAGCTATTGTGATCGGGGCCTGCCATATTTGCATGCTCGAAACGGCGGAGAAAATTTCAATAGCTAAATCCCTGTAAGTATTTAGAATATAAGTTCACTATTCCAGCCTTGCTGTTTCACATATTTTTGTATTTTTTTTTTCCTTCATTTTGTTAGTATGGTTTCCTGTTTTTTAGTTCGTGAGGATTTAGGTTAAGACGACCATTCGCAGCGCCCTAGAAGATGGCATAACAAGTTCTCTTAAATTAGAGGTGTCCTTGACACATGACAGACAAAGTGCCCCATATAGTGTGTTTTCATATGCCTTTATTATGAAACCGTACCAAGCACGCACATACAATTTAATCCACACACAGAACCTAACGCTGGTGACGAGTCGACCTCTGCCTACTCACACAGATGCACACGCACACACACA